CATTTCCACCACACCAGTGAGATCCCTTGTGTCCGGCAGTTCATCTCTGTCGCAGGCTCCAGGCTGCCCGGTAGGCTGCTTCCCGTCTTTAGATAGTTGCCTTTTCTGGACATTTCATATAAATGGAACTATTCAATATGTGGTTTTTGTGTCTCATTTCTTTTTATTGTATAATGTTTTTGAGGTTCATTTGAATTATAGCATAGGGTTGATTTCGTATTTATTGCTGAAGAGTGTTCTGGCTTCATGCATTTTTGAGGCTCTGTTAGGAAGGGCGTCCATATTTTTTACTATGGTTTTCTAGTAAATCGATCCAGTTATTAAAAGTACCTTTTTTATTTCTCACAGTTTTTTCTAAAACCTATTTTATCTGATATTAATAGAACCCACTAAAACTTATGTTAACTGTTTGCATAGTGTATCTTTTTCCATCCATTTACTTTGAATCTATCTGGGGCTTTATATTTCAAGTTTAGCTCTTATCTAGGATAGCATATAGCTGTTCATGCTTTGTTTAAAAAGAGTCCATTCTGCATTTTCTGCCTTTTAGTTTTAATGTTTACCGTATTCATGTTTAATATAATTATTGGGTTTGGGGCTCCATTTTATTATTTGTTTTCTATTTATTCCCCTTATTTTTTCTTTTTATTAAATTTATTGTGTGACACTGGTTAACAAAATTATACAGGTTTCAGGGGCGCAATTCTACAATACACCCTCTGTGTACTGTATTGTGTGTTCACCACCCCAAGTTAAATCTCTGCCCGTCACCATTCATCCCCCCTACCCTTCTCCACCTCCCCTCGGCCTGTTTTTGTTGTTGTTTCTTCTTCTCTACCTTCTAAAAAAGCTGTTGGAATACTTATGCTGTTTTTCAGTGGTTGCTCTAGAGCAGGGGTGTCAAACTCAGTTTCACTGGGGGCCACATCAGCCTCACAGTTGCCTTCAATGGGCCGCGTGTGGTTTTAGGACAGTACAAACGTAACTGCTCCTTAACAGTTAAGTGAGAGCTCGGCGCTGCCCCCGGGTAGAAACAAGGTGGTGGATGGATAAAACAAGGTGGAGGGCTGCATTGGGCCCTCGGGCCTTGTGTTAGCCACCTGCGCTCTAGCGGTTGCAATATATATTCTTCACTTTTTACAGTGCGCTTAGAGTTAATACTGTTATTGTTCACTCAGAACATAGAAAGCTTTAATTGTCTGGGTGCACATTCCTGTCCCCACCCTGCCTGGTCCTTCACACCATAACTGTCGCATGTGCTACTTTTACCTACATTACGAATCCCACAGAACGATGTCATAATTCCCATTCTTGGTGCCCTTCAGTCTTTCTTGAGGATCTGCATTTCTGTCTGGTAACCATTTCACCTTGGCTTTCAGAACTTCCTTGAACATTTCGTGTATTGCAGTTCTGTTAATAATGAACTCTTCATTTTGGTTTTGTTCTTGAAGGATATAGTCATGGGATATGATAATTCCGCATCAATAGTTCTTTCTTTTAGTACATTGAAGAAGTGGTTCTGCTGTCTTCCGGCCTCCGTGATTCCTGATGAGAGATTGGTTTCCAATCAAATCATTCTCTTGTAATGTATTATTTTTCTCTAGATGTTTATAAGGTTTTCTTTTTACCTTTGGCTTTCAGCAGTTTGACTGTGATGCACCTTGGCTGGCCCTCTTTGTATTTATCCTTCTTGGTGTTTGTTGAGTATCTTGAAATCTGTAAATGTCTGTCTTCCACCAAATTTAGGAGATATTCAGCCCTTTTCTGCCTGGTTCTTTCCCCTCTCCTCTGGGACTCCAATTACATATATAAAATTATCTAACAGGTCTCTGAGTATCTGTTAATTTTTACTTAAGTCTTTTTTTACCTTTATTCTTCTCACTGGGTAATTTCTGTTGATACATCTTCGAGTCTGCTTGCTCTTTCCTCTGCCATTCCCACTTTGCTATGAAATCCATCCAGGGCATTAATTTTTCAGTTTTGGAATTTCCTTTTGATTCTCTTCTTTTAAAATATTGTTTCTATTTCTCTGCTGAGATTTCTTTTTTGGTTTATTGTAAGTATATTTTACTTTACTGAAAACAGTTGTCGTGGCTTCTTTAAAATCTGTTTTTGCCAGTTCTAACATCTGGGTCATCCCAGCACTGGTCTCAGCAGTGTTATTGTAGACATGTCTCCCATTTCCCTGCTTCTTCACATGTTGTATGTTTACACTGTATCTAGGATACTGAGAAGGTTACATCTGAGACTCCTGAGTTGGTATTTTTCTTCAGTGAGTAGAGAGTTTCTCTGGTTTAGCAGGCGCCTGTCTCAGTTGGACTCCAGCTGCAAACTCCGTTTCTCGGGCAGCAGCGTGAGTGAGGTCAGGCCTCTGTCTCCAGCAGAGCCGCTGTGATCGTTCTCCGAGTGTGCGCAGCCACAGTGGGCAGGCAGGCAGAGTCGGGGTATGCTCTTCGATTTCTTCCCCTTTGTTGCCGGTGGACACAGTTTCTCAGATTCTGTTTTTTCTCTCCTAGCCCAGAAGGGCTACATTCCCTGCCCCCCCCCCCCCCAGATCCCTACCTGTGGGCTGTGAAAACGTGAGCTCGTTCTGTGTAGTTCTCCTCTGAGTGCAGGCTCCCATCCGCCTGTTTGTGTTCGCTCTCCAGAGCCTTCAGGTAGCTGTGCTTAGTGTAAAATGATCCCAGTTTAATGTTTTCTGGAGGCAAATTGAAATGCCAGGATCTCATTCATTATCGAAGCCAGTCTCTTGAACTTTCATTTTAGTATGGGGGACACGGACAGTACCAACAAATAAAAATAAAATATCTATAATGTTAAATACAGTACGTCCTCATTTGACGTCATTTATAGGGTCCGTGACTTTAAGTGACTCAATGTATAAGGAAACCAGGTTTACCAATAGGCTGATTGACATAAGCGAGAGTGAAGTTCCTGGGGTGTCTCATCAATGTCATAAGGAAACAGCGAAGAGCAACACATTATTCAGGGGCCTGCCGTGGTCGTGCTGGTGATCCGTTGCTTTGTTACAAACTGCCCCAAACGTCTGAGACATAGATCACTCTGATTTATAAGGATTCATGCAACTGTGGATGTGGCTGAGCTTGTGTGTTTGTACTTCATCTGGCTCGCTCGTGTGTCTGCAGGCCAGCTGGGGCTTGGCTCTGGGCTGGGCTCGGCTGGGCACCTCTGTGAGAACAGCTCTGCTCCGTGGGTCTCTCGTCTTCTTCCTGGGTGCAGTGGGCCAGCCTGGGCCCGTCCTTGTCATGGTGATGACAGAAAGGCAAGGGAGCGATCTCACAAGTGCTTATTCGAGCCCCTGCTTATAAGGTGCCTTCTGACATTCCACTGGCCAAAGCAAGTCGCGTGGCTGAACTCGGTCGGAATCAAGGGCTCCTGCGATCCAAGAGGTCGTGTGGCAGAAGAGCCAGCAGCGGCATTGGGGAAGATTTGGGGCCTTTTGTGCATTATACCAGGGCAGGAAAAAGTGCCACAAAAAATTAAATTAGGATAATAGAGATAAGGGGTGTGTATAAACAGGGGTGGGCAAAGGTAGCTTTACAGTTGTTCGTATGGAGAATAGCACATTAATAAATAATATAAGAATGAACTGTTTTGCATGGTCACAGTTGTAACCCCTGTTTTGTATAGTCACAGTCTTGTTCACCCCTGTGTAGAGGCCTTTTTAAATATAAAGTTGGAATTAATTTATACCACTATATAGCCAACTCTGTAATATGATACCCTAAACGCTTTCCAACTTTTTGACCATTTTAGATCATTTAAAGTTTTCTGCCCTTCCATGGTTTGTTGAGTGCTTACTTCTGGAAGCACTTTACAGGTATTATTTATATCATCCTTAAAACAGCCTTATGAAATAGATACTGTTCCTGTCCTCACTTTACAGATGAGGAAACTGAGGTACGGAAAGGCTCAGTAACTGGGCATTCGTCATCCACTTTATACAGGTAGAGGGAAGGTGTGGGGCTGCACAGTCTGCCTCGGTACATATTCTTGCGTGTGCTTCTAATAGGAGGTGGTATTTGTATCTCTGAATATTTTTTAGATAATTTCCTAGCAGTGGAGTATTGGGTCACAGAGTAATTTTCACATTTAAAGAAGAGCGTGATTTTCATCTTGTTGCCAATTGACTGAGCAGCACCTCAAAGTTGTTGCAGGAACATCTCACCCCTCTCACTCCCAAGACAGTAAAACGCCAGGCTTGCTGGTGAACTGCTGGAGTGTAAGCACTTAGTGGGTGAGCTGCAGCAAGTAGGAGCCCAGAACTGGTGTCTTGCGAGCTGAGCAAGGCTGAGCAATAGCCCGGGCCAGTGAACCAGCTCAGCTGAGAGTGGTCCATGGCACGGTGGGCCTGCATGAGCCCAGGCGCCGGGCCAGCCCTGGGTCCACTCACTATCACAGACAGCACAGGGCTCCGCAAACGATGGCCACCATGTATGAAAGGACAGCTGCGTGGGTCGCTAGTATGACTCTCCAGCCTGTGGCACATGAGGCTCCCTGGCCACTCACTGAGTGACCAGACGCAGGAGGAAGGGAGTGATTCCAAGGGCCTGGCAGAAAGTGCGGGCAAGTTAATGAAGGGGTGAGCACCTGAGTAGTAGGTCGTCTGCGTCTCTTGTCGTTTTTCCATTTTCATTTTTATCATTCCGCCAATCAGAGCTGTATATGTGGATATCTGCCTGATACTTACTACTTTGGAACAGTGGGGGAAAGACTAGAGAGGAGTAGGAATCTGGTGGAGTTTTAAGTACTAAAAGTCCTGAATCACAGCTGGGATAGAGATGATTAAATTGAAAATTGGGGATTTTCTGTAGATTGGGTTGTTTTCAAGGTAGTCTGATTACAGCGAATGTACAAAGTGAACTTTGTGTGTTTGCAGTGAACTTTCACTGCAGTTGTGGTCATTGTTACCTCTGAGTGTTTAAGGTAGAGGTCCCTTGTTTATTTCATGTCTAATACTTCTTTTTTTTTTGCTTCAGGTTAGTAGCAAAGATGAAGATTTTCTTGATCTTTCTGTCGATGTGGAGCAGAATACTTCTATTACCCACTGTCTAAGGTAACCTCATGAATTCTGACTGTGGTCAGGGCTTTTGATCAGGCTAGTAAATAAGTGGGGCGGGGGCGGGGGGGAATAGCCCCTATTTCCCCAGGAAATAATCTTCCTTTCTTTTAAACCAATGTAATCCTGTTTTTCTACTCCTCCTTTTCCGAGAAGGATTAAAAATAAGTGCGTGTGTTCTGGAGAAGAGTCCTGCTAAGAAGAGAGGATCAAGTGGAAGCCATTAGTCATTAAGTTCAGAAACAAGTTTTTAATCTTGAATACAGATGTAATAAAGAGACTTTCCTCTCTCACACAGACACACACAATCAATTACACAATTAGGTTAACAAATTCTATAGATGCCTGCATTCCTTTCTTTTCTAAGGTGATCTGCTCATGCACTTTTGAGCTGAGAACTATTGGGGAAATTGCCTTTTCCTCAGACTTCCAGCGTTGAAGGAGATAATTCATGGGAAAATTTTCTCCTCATTAGGGTTCAGAGTAGGCCAGGAGCCTTCGTATGCCCGGACTTGGGCATACCAAGTCCTGCCCACGGTATAGCATCTGTAAATTGTGCTCAAAATGGATAGAAAGACACGGTGTCCTTTTCTCCTCCTCACTCCCTTCTCCTGTTTTCATTAAGAGGTTGTGAGTGCTATAGTCAGCCTGGCCCTGCTCTGGACACCGGGCGTGGAGCACCAGAGACCCCTCGCGTAGCGCTTGCGTTCGGTGGGATCCACAGACGGTGTCGGTGCTTTGAAGGGGGCTGGACAGGTGTGAAGGGTGCGGGTGCCCGGGCGGGGCCAGCGGGCAGGTGGGCCTCCCGTTGCCCAGGGCAGTGCAGCTCAGAGACACTTTGCGGTGTCGGAACCAGGCGCCGTCGGTTTTTATCAGAGGAGCAGAGTGGCAGCGCTGCTCTTTCAGGAGTGTAGGTGACCTGGAACATGTTAGCAGACGTAGATTAAAGGGACTTGTTATGGTGAGTGACTGTAGGCACGTCGTCTTCCAGGGCGAAGGGACCAGCTCCAATGTGGAAGAGCTTGGCTCATCCGGGTGTAATGTGTCATGTGGGATGGGGGTGGATGGCTCTCCCATTTCCCAGGAGTCTGACCCCCCACCCGCACCCCTTGTTCAACACTGCGGTGATAGGCTGGTACCTCAGCACTTCCTGCTGGTTTGGCTCATCAACCCTTGTCTCCAAATGCCTTGCGTTCAGGGGTCTAGGACAAGTTTGTTATCTCTTTGTTTAAAAACTGTTTCATAAGCCCGGTGGCCTCTTTTTTCTCTGAATGGCTGCCTTTATGGTGAGGGTTTCTAATCTTCCTGTGAGAAGCGGCCATTTTTTATTTCCCGAGGATTTTGTGATCCCAGGGAGTAGGAACAGGCGAGGTTGTGCCAGCCTTGGTCACAGGTGAGGGCACAGGGGGGAGGTATTTGTCCATACGCCTTCTTTGAGAAGGGCAGTTAGGAAGCGTGTAGTAGGTTAGGGAGGTTGGCTGCTTCCCCTCCCGTCGAAGCATTATCTGGGCTGCTCCACAGGGCAGTTAGCCGTGGCCTTGGCTATGAGGCCAGCCAGGTAAAAGGTTAATTGTTAGTCAAAATATCAACCTTTGAGAGCCTTGTTGTAGAGAAATGTAAGCCAGATTTATGGTTTCATTTTTTTTTCACTGGAGAAATGTGTGTACTGGCCACGCATATGTGAGAAGGCAGGCTAGAGGCACTGGGAGATGTTCGAGCTGGGACGGATGGGTGAGCATGAAATAGCCTCGGAGTCCCTCTTAAACAATGTGAGGTTCTCATCTGCCTGGACTATCCAGGCTGGTGTTCTTGAAGTGCCTACCCATCCTTGTTTTATATCATCCTTAAACTAGACCTTGAGCGGCTTACATATCCCTGCCCTCACACACACCTAACACCTCACCTCTCCCAGGAGAGTATGAGCAGGAGAGAGGGCCAGGGGCTGCTGGGTGCCAGCCGATCCCCCTTCACTCGTTCTGCCCGAGACAGAGGGCGAGAGGAGTGATTGCCATCTCTGTGACCCTTTTCATGGTTTGATTTGGCTTGTGTTCTTGAAAGTTTATTTTAAAATGAGGATTCTGAAGTTTCTTCTGTGACATCATGTCTGCATACCTCTTCTGATGTGATATTTCTATCTTTCACTCGATGATGAAAAAAGTTGCAAAGTGAAGCTAAGATTGTGGAATTTAAATGTCAGATTTCTGCCTGCTCCTTCCAGAATGGTTTTCGGTGATCATTTACAGGGTGTGTTCAGTGAACTTCTGTCCCAGGGAGACGATGGGAGAAGAGGCAGAGAGGTTCAGAATGCAGCCTCCCGTGCTCGCCGAGCTGTGACTCTGGCATTTGAAATCTCAGTGCCTTCAGCGGTGAGCCCTCTGTACCATGAGAGGGTACTGAGTAAGCTTTTTTCTTTTGAAGAGTTAAGGAATGGCCTCAGGCACAAACGTAAAATACGTGAAGTTATTCTTATGTGGTCTTTTCTGTGTATTTGGTCTTCACTTTAGTGCCTTAGTCCCTCCCCTCTGCTCGGAAGCCACCGGCTTCTCTGTCTCCCTCCGGTTTCAAATTCTCGTTCTCCCAGTGCCAGGATCAGGAGGGAGGTAGCCTTGTAACTCTCCTCAAACTCTGTTTTGAAAATGAATCGTATTTTTTTAAATTCGTTTTCTACTTATTGTGCAGAACTTCTTTTGTTCAAAGATTATATCTATACATATATATCTCTCCCAACACATTTCGATTCGTTTTTCTGTTCTCTTGTTCTGACCTGTGCTTCCGTTTCGATTGCTGTTACGTCGTGTTTTCTGATACCTGACGCACAAGTCTTCCTCACAGCTTTCTTTTTTACGTCTTTTCTGACATGCTAGTCCATGGCTTTCAAACTGTGGTGTGTGTCACGTGGGTAAGAATCGAGGCCCAGACCCTGTTCAACTTCAGGGATCCCGGGCCTCTGTCCATTTCCTGGGTGATTCTGACGGGGCCACAGTTTAGGGACCACAACTCTAGATCTTTGCCCCTCCAGCAGGGGCTCTGGGACCAGCACCATCGACATCACCTGGCATCACCTTGCGTCACCTTAGAACTGTAGCATCTCAGGTTTCCCCCGAGAAGGAATGCAGCAATGAGTCAGAATCGGCATTTTGACATGGAGATTCGGATGCGTGTGAATATTCGCAGAGCATTGGGAATGGTGGCTCTGGGCCCGGACAGCATGTCGGAACCACCTGGGACAAAGCTTTAAGAACAAGAGTGAGTGCCCGGGTGCCACCTGCAGAGATTCTGATGTGAACGATGGGGCTGCGGGTGGGAGGTGGAGATGGAAATTGTTTGGGAAGTTCCCCAGCTGATTCTAACGAACAGCCAGGAGAACCACCGCTGTAGATTCTACAACAGAGCTGGCCTGCGGGCATGCCATGGCAGACGGGTCGCGGGCGTATCCGCCCCTGTGCCCCTTAGAGACTGGGCAGACCTGCAGGAGCGGCCGTGTCCATTTACTGCAGCTCCTGGCTATGCAGCGTCATTTTCTCTGGTCACAACATGGAAATGATCGGGAAGCATCCACTTGAGAAATTTGTGAAATCAGTTTTTAAACTGTTGTGTTGAGTGGAAAAAAGATTTTAATTAAAAAATGTGCCAAATATAGACATTAACTTGGACATGAGCACTCTTTTTACGATACATAGCCTTCCCATCCATGAACATAATCTTTTTTTCCATTTTTCAAGATTTTTTGTATACATTCCCATAAGGTTTTATAGTTTTCTTTCTTTGTAAAGGGGGTGAATTTTATATTAGATTTGTTCCCCAAATGTATTTTTTAAAAGTGCTTTATTCCCACTGTGACTCTTCTTGAAAGAAATACAAGAAATTTGTGCTTTTTCTCTAACCTCTTCTCTGCTTTAGTCATTTATCCTGAGCATTGGAAAGACATCGCTACTCTCTCCTTTCCCTTTAATTTTCTTCTTGAAAAGTTCCCTCAGCCTTTGTCATCTGCTGTGGTTCCAACAGTTATGCAGTATCAGCTGACAGACTGGTCAGCCTCGGGGTTTCCTGCTGGGGTCACCCCCCTTTCCTGACTTAGTCTTATTTTCCACTTCTCAGCTCCCAGACCCCTAAAAGCTGCACCTTGTCTCTCAGGGCATCAAGCTCTGAGGCAGCTGGGGCTCGGCAGGGTAGTGGTTATTTGTAAATTTGTTCCTTAAATCAGGTCTAACTTCTGCTGTATTTCTACCTATCTGGGTTTATAAATGCTTCAGAAAACTATCTTTGAGAAATTAAATAGAAAGTATTAATTCCTACTAATTGTTCTGCTGGTCGTGGTTATTCTGGTTCTGTAGCTGAGCAGAGGGGTTTGTCTGTGCTGTAGACCACCAAGGGTGTGGCTCCCCACCATCACCCGTGCTCACCTCTCCCCCTTCCCGGCCTCCACCTCATGCCTCCCAGTGATTCTCCGCAGGCTGAAGACTGCTTTCACCTTATTACTTTACTGAAGAGTCATCCCGTATTCATTCAGCTACATTTAAGACTGTATTATGCACCAAGCACTTGAATTCCGGGGATGGAGTATAATTGCTTTCTAAGATTGTTTCCTTACCTTTTGACCCCCTCCAATTCTCCTCCCATGGTGCTGCCAGAAATGGTGTTTTCAAAAAGCACAATCTGATTGTGTCTTTTCCTTGCTGAGACTGGTTAGTGGGAGTCCATGCCAGCTCCTGAGAAGCGTGCACCCTGTACCTCTGTGCCCCACTGTGGTGTTCCCTCCGTCTGCTGTCCGTGCCTCCTGTCCGCCTGGCACACTTTCCCTCTCTGAGAACCCGACTCGGGTATCGCCCCTTGGGAAACGTCCTGAAGTACCCCAGTTCAAGTTCATTTCTCATCCCCCTGGGCTTTCCCCCGGACCCAGTACACGTGCCTGCCTCTGTCTTCATTCATTCCATCAGCTGACACGTATTATTGAGCGCTGCCGGGCGTTGGGTCTGTTCTCAGCGCTGGGGCTCTAGCAGACCTAGAAGGGAGGCAAGTAGTCAGTGAATAGCAGGATGGTTTCAGGTAGCAGTGAGTGAGCGCTCGGGAGTAAATGACAGCGACGGGCGAGGGCGTGGGTGGGTTCAGAGGAAGTGGACAGGGAAATCTTCTCTCAAGAGGTGACATTTACGCTGAGCTCTGCGTGAGTGGAGCCAACATGGAAACATCTGGAAAGGAATTATCAGTGCGCAGAGACGGCATCTGCAAGTGCCCAGAGACAGGGAGCCTGCTGATGGTGAGATACAGGGAAGACTGGCCTGTGTGGCTGGGGCAGAGCGAAGCTGGGCAGGGAAGGGGACGAGGTCAGGAGGGCAGCCAGGGGCCTGCAGGGGGCCGGCCTGTTCACTGCGGCATGGGATTTGGATCTTACTCACAAGTGCCTGGAACTGCTGGAGGGTTTTCGGCAGGGGGATCAGGTGTGCAGAGTGATTTACGTTCACCCTGCCCTGAGCACATAAACGTCGTGCGTGGCTCCCTTGCACGTGTCTGTGGTGGACCGAGCTGTGTGAGCACGGGTTCCGTGCGCTCCACGAGTCTCCAGCACCCGGTCCCCAGTACTGTTGGTAGACATTTGGGGATTTAATGGACAAACTGTGTTTTTTCTTGGTAAGTTCTGTGATGGCGTTCTTCGATTTAATAAAATGGGATCATTCTGGCGCTGGGACATTCCCTCTGCATAAGGAAATGTCACAGACCTTTTCGAGAGTCTGGGCTGTTGTCATGTCTCCACGTTCTCTTCAGCCTTGGAAGTCGTACCGCAGGAAAGTTAAGTAGAATCTCAATGACCAGACCAGAATGACACGCCGTGACATTTAAAAATGAAAACTATGAGTAGGCGATAAGGCAGATACAGATATAACATCACAGCAACATTTGTTCTCAAAAGGAGGCAGGCTGGAGTTCACATACAGGGGGCAGGAGTGGGGAGCCAGGGGTCGTGGGGAGCAGTCCTCTCCTGAGCGGGTGGGGCTTTCTTGGTTCAGTGTAGGGCAGCTGTGTATGGTTGATGTCCACTGTCTTCACTGCTGTGCTCTTGGAAAATACAGACCACCCGACACATACTGTTTTCACTAATTGTATAATAATGCCACCTTGTATTTTACGTGCTTGACCTTTTTTGGACCCAGCTTTACAGTGGGCCTTTATGATAGTTAGTATTTTTCTACTATTATTTATGCCTCCAACTGACAGGCTTTCTCTGTTAAGCCCCGAGTTTTTCCTGAGCCCGTTGGAAACCTCTGTCTGTGTCCCGTTAGGTAAGGCTGTACCTGACAACCTCTCCCAGGGGAGTCACAGTCCGGTCCAGCAGACAGGCTCCCACAGTGGCGGACGGCCGACTCGCCGGGAGGAGCTTTGCTCGTTACTTCTTCCCCCCACTCGCTCAGAAATGACCCCGCCGGTCAGAGCGTTCAGAACGCAGCGTCCGTCCCAAGCACAATGTGGCCTTCTTTTTAAGTTGTAAACATTTCTCTCTGCAGAGACTTCAGCAACACAGAAACACTGTGCAGTGAGCAGAAGTACTATTGCGAAACCTGCTGCAGCAAACAGGAGGCCCAGAAAAGGTGCGAGAGGGGTTTAGCTTAAGAGGGTGTTTTTGTGTCCCGCGGAGGAGCCTGCCCGTGGAGCCTGACGGATGGGGCGTTGAGTCCAAGTCGCACAGGCTCATAGCCAGGTCGTCTGGGAGAAGTCAGCCACCTCCACACTGTAAAAACCGGGGTGCGAATGCCGGCCTACCTTGGAACGTCGTCCGCCTCCGGTTGTTTGCTCATTGGTTCATTTGTGCGTTCACTCAACAAATACTTTTTGAGTGCTACTGTGTGCCCAGTAGTGTGCCGGGTAGGCAGGTGGTGACCAAGTGTAATCACTGCCACCTTGGGGTTCAAGGGACATTACAAAAAGGACTTAGCATAGTGCCTCACACAGCTGTCACCAAGTCGCATGGTTAGTGTTGCCTACACGTTGGGACTTCCTTATTTAGAAGATAGAAGAGGTTGAACAATTAGTTATTTAATAACAGATCACGAAGAAAGCAATAGCGCATCAGTTATATGGACAGGTGATAAGGAAGGTTCCGCGTTCTGAACAGACGTGGGACCCAAGGTTGCCCGTGTTCTTCCCAGCGCCACGCAGCCAGTTAGACTCTTGGACAAACAGATAACCCGTGATTCCCTGTGAGCCCCCCTAGAAGCCAAGAAACTTGACACTTCAGTTATCCCGTGAGGCCTTCCTGTGAGTTAAATTTGCCCCGCCCGTGGTTGTGGAATGTTCACAGTAACTCATTACTGCCATCTGAACCCTCAGGGGCCCATAGCTGGGGGCGAAGTGACCTCTCCGCCCAGCCCCCTCCGACACGCGCGTCGTGCTGCGTCTAAACGTACAGCAGTTTAGTCCGGGCGGCAGGCGGAGTGGAGGCGGTGGGTAGGTAGCTCTCATCGGTAGTCAGGGGACCTCACCTCTGCGCCCAGCCGTGGACTCTGAGTCAGCCTGAGGCCAGCCCAGGCCTTCTTTCGTGGCATGAAGGGGTTTTCCGTTCAGCTCTGAAGGTCATTAAAATGTCATATGTTCCTACAAAATACGTGGTTCCCCATAATTCATATGTTTCTGCTGTTGTTATTTTGGTTATTGTTATGAACAAGGTCTTACCTTAATAGATTCCTAAATAATATTCTTTTAAAATTTGTTCTTTTCAAATAATATGCATTGAAATGTGCACAAGTGGAGAAGAATTTACAGTAGGTCAGGGCACTCCTAGACCGGGGGTCCTGGAAGATTCCCTAATCTAGTAAACTTTGTAAACTTGTTGTCTTTGTGACTTTTTATTAGGGAATATTAAGGGTCATCGTAGTGATAAAAGGTTTCCGTGTTTATGTAAGTTTGAGAAATGGATCAAATGAGAGAACGGTCCCTTTCCTGTAGGGAGGAGCGCCAAAGCAGAGGTGGCATCGTCAAAGCAGAGGTGGCATCGTCAAAGCAGAGGTGGCATCGTCAAAGCAGAGGTGGCATCGTCCCACAGAAACCCCACAGTGTGTTAGCGTCCCCCGGGCTGCAGTGAGCCTGGTTAGGGAAACACAGCCCTGAGCCAACCCCTGCCTTCTGTGAATGGGAGAAGTGAGAACCGGAGAAGGAAATGACTTGCTCAAGGGCACAAAGGGAGTGTGAGAGTGAGCCCAGCGCATTGGCTTTGCTGATGCCGGTGGTTTGCAGTGTCTGCAGCTCCCTGTTACCGCTTCTCGCTTCTCGGCCTTTTGGCTAAGATCAAGTGGAGCTCCCCGCTGGTCCTCAGAACCTGGAAGGCCGGACCGCACTCTTCTGCTTGTCCTTGCCCCAACTTCCTTTTCCCAAGAGCTCTTACCGTCCTCTCCTTGATCTCAGGAAGGCGTGGGGGGGATGGTCCAAGCACTGCTCCTTCCTGGGGGGCTGAGGGCCGTGACAGCGGTTGGCATCCTAGTTTTACTGATACAGAGATTCTGGAATGTCTCTGTTGACCAGACAGACCCCTGCTGTTGCAGCTTTTCTCCCCCTGACTGTGCTCCAGGTCACGGAGGACGTAGGATAAGTCCTCTCTAAATAAGCCAGCCTGCTCTTATTCCTGTGAGGGCTTTGGTTGCTTGCAGTTGGTTCGACCCTCCTGCTCTCGTCTGTGCAGGCAGCAGTGGGTTCTGATCTCCTAACGGGCTGGGCACAATTGACTTTCCATTTCCCGATTACTTAGGATGAGAGTAAAAAAGCTGCCCATGATTTTGGCCCTGCACCTGAAGCGGTTCAAGTACATGGAGCAGCTCCACAGGTACACCAAGCTCTCCTACCGGGTGGTCTTCCCACTGGAGCTCCGGCTCTTCAACACCTCCAGCGACGCCGTGAACCTGGACCGCATGTACGACCTGGTCGCCGTGGTGGTTCACTGTGGCAGGTAAGGGCGGCCGGGCCGCGCGGGCGAAGCCTCAGGGTCGTCCCTGTGCTGAACAGACCCAGCCAGCCCTTTCCTGGGCTGAGACTCAGCAGTAAGGGGACTTGGGGGAATCTCTTCCAAGTTCTTGTTTATGCTCTGTCTCAGAATACATATAAATATACATACATGTGCACAGAAAATAAAATGAAACAGATGGCATTATAATGAATTACCTAAATGTTCTATCATAAGGGAAATACTAAATCTCCATGGGTTATAAATAATGCTTGGGAAGAGTTTGAAACAACATGGATGCATAAATGCTTATGCTATGATTTTAATTTTTAAAAAGCCAGGTTACTATTATGTGATTTCGCAAGTATCGTGAGGTGTATGAATAAAGACTGGAGGTAGTGGATCAGAGTTGATTTCTTGGCATTTTGAATGATTGGAAACGCACCTTTAAGAAATTCTTTGTGTACATCTCAGCCTTTCCCTAGCACTGGGAGGAGCACATAGACCGAGCAGGGAGTGAGAGGGCGGGCCCCGGGGCGTGGGAGAGCAGGGTGTCCCAGAGTCCGCTGACCGAACACTTATTGTCCCGTAATTTGGAGATGTCTGAGTGTGGGGAAGTCTGTGGAAAATTCCCCTTCATTCTCCTCCTGCTCACCTGGGGTTGGGTTTGTGTCCGCCCAGGTTTGCCCCGCCCTCACAGGTTTAAGATTGGGACATGCCACAGGGCAGGTGTCTTTTCCTCTCCACCTGCCGGGATTGGTCGTGGTGGACGGACCTTACCAAGAGGGCGCACAGTTTCACGTGGGGAGTGGCCTGATGTTCCTGTCGCCCTGCCCTGGGGTGGGTGGTGTCAGGAACAGTGGCTCCCAGCAGAAGCATCCCATTTTGTCCTGCACATGTTAACTTTACATCGCTGAATATTTTATGTTCTCAGTGGGTCGCATTTGTCAGCCACTTATAAGCCAGCTTTGTGTTTCCCTTGAATAGTTGTAGCAGTTATTCTTTGAAAGCACCCAGGGGTCCAGTGATCTGGAAGCCAGCCAGGACCACCGGAGGGACCAGTGGCTGGGAGGAGCAGGTTGTGCGGAGGCAGAGCCTGGTCCCTGCAGGGCGTCGTGGCTGAGGCAGGCAGTGCGGACAGGTGGTGGGGACACAGAAGCGCTCAGTTGTGTAGGGTGTGGATGGGTTTTCAGTGTGGGCCTCTGTGTGTGCCAGCTCTAACCCCTGGGAGCGCTGGTGAGGGCAAGGCAGAGACCCCACAGACTGTGGGGCAAAGCAGGGTGTTGGGCTCTGGAACAGTCAGCTTCTGTAATGGGGACACAGGGTCAGAGCCGCCCCGGCAGCAAGGACGAGTGGTGCCAAGTCGTGCATGCTGCTCCCTGAGATTCTTTAAATTCTTCCCCGCCAGAGGCGTGGTTATTCTGGTCATGGAGCCAGGCTGGCTGAGGGCCCTGGAAAGCTCTGAAGTTGGGGCGCTAAGCCCTTTCCTTCATTCCAGGATCCCCCGGCCCACATTTGCAGTGGGCACACTGATTTCCGCTACAAGTATTTTTTGAAGCCCTGTTTTGTGGGTTCTGGGGCAGGTTCTGACAGCACAGCAGTGAGCAGGACAGGGGCTCTGCCCTCATGAAGCTGAGGAGCTGGTGGGAAAGGCAATGAACTAGTGAACACCGCAGCCTGCTACGACCAAAACCAAACCACACCGTGATTTATGACTTTGATTCGTGCTCTGAGGAGTGAACAGGGCGATAAGAGAGCAAGGGGAGGTACCTGCCTTCAAGGGAGGGGATGGTTTCAGACAGTCACACCAGGTGCAAACGCCCAACCTGGGAGGGGCGGTGTGTGTGAAAACTGGAGACCAGAGGGCTGGCGCTCAGGGGGAAGCGTGGCGGGACTGGGGTGGAGAAAGGCAGGAGCCACTCAGGGTGGGTCATCCTATATTTAAAGAAAGCAAGCAGGCAGATCCAGCCTTTGGCTTCAAATGATGCCTTGGGGAAAAAAAAACAAACACAAAACTCTAAATTTAAGATTAATGTCCTCTCGTTTGTACAAACCTTACTACACAGCAGCAGCTGTGTAGTTCTTTTTCTATTATTGTGTCGTGTGTACCTTTTTATATTAGTGCTTGTTATTATACATTGTGAATTATTAACACCTTTCTGAAACTTAAATCAGATCATGTCATTCCTCAGAATTTCCCTGGGTCTTCCTGGCTCACTCACAGCAAAGTCCAAAATCCTAACCGCAGTACCCCATTCCCCCCTGGCCTCCTCCCCGCACCCTCCCTGGCTCACTCAGCTCCACCTCCTTACTCCTCTGCGAACACGGCAAGAACTACGCCCCCAAGACCTTCACCCTTGCTACCCTGTTTCTGAAACTTCCATCTAATAGAGTTCCTTGGCTTATCGACACCCCCCCCACACATCATTGCCCTCAGGGAAGTTTCCTTTTGCTCAAATCGCATGTTGTCAGAGAGGCTTTCATCACTCCAGACCGAGTCATACCCTCCCTCTACACTCTCTTTGTCTCCATCTGCTCTGTCCTTCGTGGCTCTTAGCACCGTTGGAAACGCACTTTCATGTTACTTCGTTTATTGCCTATTTAATACCCTCCCCCCAAAGTGGGACTTGGTTCTATTCACCGCTCTGTCCCCTGACAGCCAGAGTAGGATCTGGCACATACAGTGCCAGGTATACAGTGATCATTTGTTAACTTCAGGTGCTCGGCGCTCCAGGGCGAACGGGTCAGACGAGTGTGGTCGTGGACACGCCTCTGCCACGTTCTCTGTCTTGGTGAAAGCTTTTTCCTAGTGAATTGCCACTTACAGGCAATGACCTAGAGTTTTATAAAGAAGTCAGTCTTAGTTAACTTGGTTATTTCCCTTTTCTTTGTTCTTTTCCAGCGGCCCTAATCGCGGGCATTATATTACTATTGTGAAAAGTCACGGCTTCTGGCTTTTGTTTGACGACGACATTGTAGAGGTGGGTGTGCAGGGTGTTCTGCAGTGGGGGAGGGGTGGGTGTGCAGGGTGTTCTGCAGTGGGGGAGGGGTGGGTGTGCAGGGTGTTCTGCAGTGGGGGAGGGGTGGGTGTGCAGGGGGTTCTACAGTGGGGGAGGGGGTGGGTGTGCAGGGTGTTCTACAGTGGGGGAAGGGGTGGGTATGCAGGGTGTTCTGCAGTGGGGGAGGGGTGGGTGTGCAGGGGGTTCTGCAGTGGGGGAGGGGGTGGGTGTGCAGGGTGTTCTACAGTGGGGGAGGGGGTGGGTGTGCAGGGTGTTCTGCAGTGGGGGAGGGGCGGGTGTGCAGGGTGTTCTGCAGTGGGGGAGGGGTGGGTATGCAGGGGGGTTCTGCAGTGGGGGAGGGGCGGGTGTGCAGGGTGTTCTGCAGTGGGGGAGGGGTGGGTGTGCAGGGTGTTCTACAGTGGGGGAGGGGGTGGGTGTGCAGGGTGTTCTGCAGTGGGGGAGGGGCGGGTGTGCAGGGGGTTCTGCAGTGGGGGAGGGTGTGGGTATGCAGAGCGTTCTACGGTAGGGGGCATGGGGTGGTATTTGGGGAATGTGTAGGTGTGGACATTTTCTAAGATAGGCCTGTTCTCCCATAATCTGATATTAAAATAACTTAGATTTCTCTCAAAACTCAAATTCTACTGTTCCCATGCTCTGTGCAGGGAGGTTGGATGTGATTGTGGGCTCAATACTGTGCTTTTGTTAACTGATCAGCCACAGACGTGGGATTTTTATGCCACGTTAAATCATATTTATTTGTGAGTTCTGTTGCTTAATCTGATTGGAGCCTCTCTGGTGCAGACCAAATAATAAACTTGGAGGTTCTGTTAAAATTACCATATTTTTCTTGTATTGGTTATTATTTAAAAAATAATTTTTCAGTCTGTTGGACCTGGAAATCTTTATACACACCAGAGTATGCCACATGGTGGTCTTGCTGTGAAGCAGTACTGGCTGGAGAGCGTGCAGCACTGAGAGGTGTGGCCTGCTCTAGCCCACGAGGGCAAAACGAGAGGGAAAGAAAGCATCGGGGTCGTCCCCCAAACTCGCCAGTTGTCCGTCGGAAGGACAGAAGTCCTGGCTTCTTCAAAGAGTGCCCACACGTGGCTGCTGATGGGTGGACGGGCGGCCTCCTTTCCCGGAGAGTCACAGTTTCTGTTACCCTGTCTCTGCCAGATCTGTGGAAATACCCATCGCTACTGAGCGTTCCCAACTGGAATTTTATAGCCAGCGGCGTGTCTTACGTTGTTCTTGTGCATTCCATTAGTTTTCCTGTCCTCCTCCCAGTAACCATGTTGACCAGATCTGTTGTTTTGTTTCTCTTTTCTTGTAGAAAATAGATGCCCAAGCTATTGAAGAATTCTATGGCCTGACATCAGATATATCAAAAAACTCAGAATCTGGATATATTTTATTCTATCAGTCCAGAGAATAACTGAAGACCCTCGAGACTCACACGCGTGGGGGAGGTGTCCCCCGCACGCCGTCTGGTCTCTCTGCAGACTCCCTCCTTCCCTGGCGGCCCCCAGAGGCGGCCCTCCGAGTCTCCCTGGTCTGGCTGTGTTAGACTCTCTCTCCCTTTGTTTTTTACACACAGCACTGCTCGTGGTTTTATTTTAGTCTGAGGTAGAGTTAACTGCAATCCGATTGTAGAAAGATTTATATGAATAACAGTCACTAATTTTAGGATTGGGTCAATGCTATGCCACTGGCTGAATTAGAATGACGTTTATTTCCTAGAATGTCTGCAGTCTCTTTTGGGTCTTTGCTGACCTTCCTGAATGGTTTCCAGGGTCTCTTTTCAATGCATTCCTTTAACTGGTCCCTGGAAACATGGCTGCCCGTTTGTAGCTCCTCTGCCTCTCCTCTGACCGAAGGACAGAAGATTTGGGTAGACATTCACCCTCTAGGGCTGCAACTATAGCTTTAAGTTCGTGTGAGTGAAATTGTTTAAAAATGAGTAACCTCAATACTAAACTCGTCCCCCAGGTGGCACGTGGGGTTTAGCCCGGGCCCAGGGCTGCGCTCACCTGGCCATTCCCTGGGGGCGGGGCGGGGGGCAAAGAAGGTTGGGAGCTCAGGGCAGGCAAAGCCAAGAGGAGGAAGCTTTTGTGGGGGAGTAAACAGTCCCTTTTCTTACCTTTTTACCAAAACCATGTTTCAGGAAAATAACTCTTTGCTGTTTGTTTTTAGTGACACTTGCTTCTGTAAGGTCCTGTGAGTGGTGTCGAGCCTCTCTGGCACGGCTGAGCTTTCCAGGGCACCTTCCCAGACCTGCCGGCACTGTGCAGCCTGTGGTCACGGCAGGGGGACACCTTGGTGATGGCCTCCGACACAGCCGTCTGTAGCTGGTCAGTGCCAACACCACGCTTCTTCCGGAAGGACGGAGGCACAGCACCTTGACTACAGTCAGCCGCGTTGTACAGCTGTTCACTCTCAAACATTTCGGTATGTTTACCGAGGCACTGGCCAGTCCCCGGGCTCGCATGGAGCCTGAAGAAAGGCTGCCGTTAGCTGGGTGCGAAGGTGGCTCCGAGGAAGTGTCCACGGGCGGGGGGAGGAAGGACCTGCGCGGCAGCGTACTTTGGCTCAGGCTCCTAGAATGCTTGACAAGATGGAGTTTTTTGGAAGAACCTCATCTCACCATAGTTACTATTACTTTTTTCACTTTTGTTACATATGTATTTATTAGGTCATTTGAGTATTGGTACCTTTTGTTAAAAGGGTCAACATGGTGTTTTGCTGTCGAGCTGGTTTTTGGTTTCCTACAAATACTATGAGTCGTACACCTTTCTCTGGGAAGTCAGTGGACTTCCATACACTATGATATACTGTGAACACTTTATTTTGTTACCTAATAAATCAGTGAACAAATATGCGGACGTTTGGCATAATGTGAACTAAACGGGAAATTGAAAATGTTAATGGCCATTTTGCAACAACTAAGAGCGTAGCACTTTATCTAGATGAAAACTGGATTTCTTCTTTCTGAAATACCTTGAACTGTTTATTGCTCAGAACTTAAGTAAGCATGCCAACACTTCATTGGTTCACGCTTGAAGTGAAATGTCTTACTTGTCACTGGAGAAGACAAAACAGGGTGATCTTCACGTTATTTTATACGAGTGACAAAAATATACCTTGCCTTGTTTAGAGGCCAATTCATATTTATAAATATTTTTGTCTTGTTTTTTCCTCCATAACACATGTGCAGTGATCACTTACCGGAAGGTGAGTTTTTATTCTTTTTAAGGAGAGACAGTTTCCAAGGGAAGGTGGTCGAGATAGGGAACTGTTTGTACCATATATATATAACCCAGATATTTGATGGCAGGTCGCAAAGTTTAAAAAAAATGATGGTTGATATCTAATATATTTGGAACTGATTCATAAGAAAAACTATTAAAATTATCTTTGAAAAAACTCTTGAAGCTAATTTATTAGGAAAAAATGTGTCATTGGGTAGCCTGTGTCAGTAACATCTAAATGCAGAGCCGTAGATTCCGTTGGGCGACGCAGGAACCGAAGATTGGAAAACGACCAACGTGCACTTTGCCTCCGACACTCCATCAGCTGTTTTACACTTGAGAGCTGTCTGGTCATTTCTTCCCTCTGCCCCCTCCATTAATGAAACAAACACTAGGCAGCTACATTTCTCCCCAGTCGTTTCACTTTATATGGAGACGTAGCATGCAAACACTTTAATTTCGCATCCTTTACTCATCACACAAAGCCGAGACTGGCGTGGGACATGCGAGGCCGTTCTGAGGTCAGCCACGGCACAAGGCTCAGCACTGTTCCCGCAGATGGCCCGTGTTTCTGTTTGTCAGGTTCTGGCAGGAGTGAGGTCCACTGTATTTTTTTTTCTTAACTGCTGGGTGTTTTAAATAAGTTACAGTGTTTTACACTTTAAAAAAGAGAAGAAATATTGGGTTGGCCAAAAAGATCGTTTAGTTTTTTCCATAAAATAAGAGACACATTTTTCATGTTCACCAGAAGCTTTTTTGACTTGGATATTTTGAGTATGTCAGCTGTCTTCTGCATTGTATAACATAGATTGTTTTCAATTTGATTGGTCTTGATTCAATGGCTATCAACTTCAGCTGGTCTGCCTGACTATGGAACAAGGTCCAGCGAGAAATCGCCAGCACAAAACTTCACAAACCACTTTTGACACACTTGATCAGTCACAGCACCTTCTTCATACACTGCACAAATCTTTTGTTGCATTTCAGTTGTGTTTTTGCCTTTTTTGAAATAATGAAGCATAATATGCCAAAAATGTTGCTTATTTTCTTCCATCTTCAATATTAAAATGGCTACCAAAAATTCACGAATTTTGATGAGTTTTTCTAAAAAACCCACAATGAGATGACAGCTGCCACAATGCAATCTAACAAAATTGTTTCAAATGAAGTTAAAGACAGTTAAGTGCTACTGGAGTCATCTGATGGAAAAAAAAACAAAACAAAAAACGAACTTTTTGGCCCAGCCAGTATTTGCTTTATGGGTTATTAGTAGTTTAGCCTCTAGATTGTGGCACAGTATGCTAACACGCCGTCTGTGTAAAGGTGAACTTCAGTAAACGCAGACACCGGTCCTGGGAGGTGATGCGTGTTCCATTCCGAGGCTGTGTGAGGTGCCCTGGAACAGCATGAGGAGGTTGGTGTGAATGGGAAGCCGGTTGTATGTGGTTTTATAGCCTGGTATATTTTGGATTTCAGATGAAATAGGGGGAAAATGAAAGAAAAGGTCCCTGCGCATATATTTCCGTGGACACCCTTCATTTCATGGGCATGTCTAACGATGAGCTATGTTCTAAATGGAGCTGAGGACTTATTTTAGATATCGGAGTGTAACTTTATTACAGATGGACTTTATCTTTACACATTGCATTTTGATCGACTTTGTATATTCACATGTATTAAAATATTGTGCACTAAATGTTCTGCCCTCGTTTGCTGTCAGATGGTCAAGGCGTTTTCCAGCACTATTGTGATTCACTCATGGAAATGGCATGGGTCAGGGAAAATTACTCCTACTTTTCCGCCTAATTAAATTTCTGTTTTTCAGTATTACATTAATTTATTTTGGGCTTCCATTTCTGTGTAGTCAAAATAGTTACTGTATGTGTGTGGCACTCATATGACTTTGTTGCTAAAAAAAATTTAGTTTTTATTTAAAATAATCTGTACCTTAATTTTTAAAAATGTAACCAATTCAAGCACTTTAAGCAATAATGTCAATCTTGTGAAATTTCAATCAGTTTAACACCTTGCCTCTAAAATTGTTTGCTAAATAAATAAATAAATACATAGGAATTCTCTTCCTAGAGAATTATATCCGGGTAATGTTATACACATGGACTTAAAAGCCTTTTTATAAAAATGTGAGTCATTGGTAACTCTCATCCGTAGGTAATTGTTCCAGACTTAATTTCAAAGCAGTGGAAATGTAAACATTCTAGTCATTGTAATACGTAAAGACAATGCTACTGTCAAAGTTGATAGAGTCAGTGTTCCGGAGATAGCTTACTACTATTTTGAGTGAAAAGACCAAAAGAATTAATGCAGAAATCTGTATCTGGGGACTAGCCAATTGAGCATATGACTGGAGGAAAGAAACTAGGGTAGGTAGTTATGTATAACAGTGAGTTACTTGGCTGGGGCTTTGCATATACGGTCTACCAATTATGAAATAAAAGATCTGTTCCCCGGAGAAGGCCGTGGCCTCCAGCTCTGTGACCCCTGGTGTCTAGGAAGGAGTAGGAGTGCCGTGCTGGTGGCCAGGCCCAGGCTGTGGGCGGGTTTTGAGCTGCGGGGGACCCCACCTGGGTGCACTTCACTTGCTGCACTGGCCTGCCAAAGGGGCGCAGGTGTGGGTTCATGTCCCGTGGTCTCACAGTGTGGCCTCCAGGAGTCAAGCTTTGTGTGAACACGCCCAGAGCTTTTTCCCCCATCTGGGCACTCGGGGCCCACGGGTGGGTAGTGGGTTGTCTGTCATCTCGCACATTTGTTTGGGCCCAGTTATGGAAATATAAACCCATAGACCGAGAGCAGGACGTCTCTCTGTTTCCATCCATTGTGTCTTGGGACAATCGGTGAAGCTAAGGCCCTTCACTCTATAGCTGGTCTCCAGTTGGACCTGACTGAGCTTGGAACAGAGGTTTGCTGGGGAAGTTACTTGTATCCACCATGAAGCTGTGGGAGGGAAGGTCCTCAAGACAATGTTTTTCTAGGCCGCCTCATGTTCATCTGTCCAGTGGTGGTGAGGCCTGTCACCACCAGTGACAATTTCTGGGGAATGAGAACCATTTTCTATTTCTAAGAATTTTCCTCTGGCTCTCTTTAGTGAAGTTTCAAATCCCTTTAACAAAGTCTCGCATTTCCAAAGAAAAAATATTTGCTAAGAGTTTTTCTCCTGAAGGAACATTTGACTGTGGGGATAATACTCCAGACCACTGAGACTTGTCCGAGGGACATCTCCAGTGGACAGGTTTTTAAGTGAGGTAGCATCTATTACACGCACGGCATTGTGATTGGAGCTGGGGGGTAAAATAGGGAAGCAGGTGGGGCCCTGTTCAGGTTTTTCGTTTCAGGGGAAAAAGTAGATCTAGGGGAAAGATTTAAATTGTGGCTATTGTGTGTGGGGTAGGGTGGGGTGGGGAATTCATCACAGTTTGGCAGTTTGGTATTTGGCCTGGGTCTTCCTGGGCAGATGGGCGTTGTCTCAGATGGGCACTGTTAGATAAAGTGGGACTGTTCTGGTTTTTTGTTTTTTCACTCTCGGATCCACTCCTGGAGCTCCACGCTCCCTGCCTGCTTTCACTGTTGTCTGAGCGTGCCTTGTAGCTCCTTCTTGTGAGGACGCAGCTTTTCAAACAAGACGTAAGTCTGCTGCGTTGCAGCAAAGGACCTGAGCATCTTCCCTCTTAATTCTCACATTAAAACAGCCAGAACAGTGAAAGCCTTAACAGTAGATTTTATGAATCAAACATCTAAACAATTTCTTTACATTATTACAAATAATTAGAAATAATCAGACATGAGAGCTTTTAAGCTGTGTGACTAATTGTTTTATTGGCTTATCAACCTGTGTTTCCTGTATGGGGTTCCTTATGTTTCAACAGTGCTCTACACAGAGCACACAGAGAGCTTACAAAGAAATGAAAAACAACTTTGTTTTGGTTATGGGACACCAGAGTCAGAAATGACATTCGATTCTGTGACGAAGATTCCTAATTTTGTGCTCCTCTCCCAGGCAGTGATTCATAATAAAGTGTCAACGGCCTCGGGCATCATGCTCACGTTGTAAGTTGCACACGTGCGTCCCTCACTTTCTTTCCCCCAGAGTGAGTGTGCAGAGGAGAGTCGAGCGCGTGGAACTCCAAGAAACCCTTCACAGGAAGTTGGGCACTTGGGATGCGGGTGAAACCCTATTTTGTTCTTACCTCCTTGATGAAGTACTGAGGTTCCAGAAGAAAACTGGGACTTAGATTTGACTTGGCTGGAAGCAAAATAATTTGATGGTCAAAGCCACCATTTCTATATTTAACCAAGTCCTTTGTACCAACTCAACTGTATTTGTGTTTCTGAGTCTCTCTTAATTGACCTTACCTGACAAAACATTCTATGCCGAGACAACTGAAAATAAACACAGGAAAAGCGGGAGAGTGTGCCTTCCTACCTTCTCAGCTAGCCCAGGCTCTTCACCTGGAGAACTCACCTCCTAGGTGAAAATTGCGTATTTCTTATACAAGAGGGTAAATAAAATATTTTGTAGCGACTTGCAAAACCAGTGTGAATAAACTCATTCTGTCGGTCCCCTTGCCACCCTCATAATAACTTGTTTGAAAACCCTGAAAAGTTATAACTGCCTATTTTTCCATCTCTGCTACCCCAAAGCCCAGAGAACAAAAATAAGTATCAATGGCTAGCCTGCCATGTGGTCCGCATGGTTGAGCCACGGTGTTTGCTGGTGGGACATCATCTCGCAGAACACCGAGCTCAGGCAAGGTCACCCTGTGACCATCGTGAAGTGAAACAATACGACAGCTTCATAATTAAGCATAGACAAAAACAAGGTCACTGCGAACCACAAAATGCCAAACACCCCACTCTCCCACCAAATCTGAGCCACTTGCTGCTCTCATCTGTCCCAGATGAGCTTTATTAAGGTATTGAATACATGATCAAAGAATTATCCCCACTTCCTGACCACACCCAATCCGGAGCAAACCCCTGTTCCTCCACCCCTCCCCCATTCCCGTACATTCTAACACTCTTGAGCTGGCCCTCCTTCCCCACGGTACGTGGTCTCCTGCCGCTATGAGGGTCAAACGCAGTTTGTTCTGCCGCAGTTGTGTTCCTGGCACCCTGGCTGCAGGACCACAACAGAGGAGTGTGCTAGATTGACAGATAAGCCACTTCTGGGGTCAGCCTGGGTCTGTTGCTCTCATGGCCAGAAAAAAAAGGAGCCACATACATTCAAGGTCGCCATTCATATCCCCAGTCGTCTGATTTACAAGTCACGCCTGCCCAGAGGGGATGGTGGTGTTTGGGCTGGATGCCCTGAGAGAAGCTTCTTACAAGTAACTTGAGATAAATCTAGGCTTCCCTTTTTCCTAACCTGTAAAACGAAGTTCAAACAGGCTTGAGATGTGTAGAAACTGCTGGAAAGCACCATAGAGATACAGCATGGTGATTATGAGTGGGATATGGTGAGACTGGCAAGCTTTGTTCTTTGCCTATCAATTCCTAGCACCGCCGCGCCTACCCTCAGACTCTCAGGCTCAGAGAGTCTGGAGCCCTTGAGTTCACTGAGGTGCCAGAGCCCCTACTTGAGGCAGGATCTGGAATCAGTAAGATGGGGTCTGAGTCCCACCTATAGGGAGAGTACATAGCGTACTTCAAGAGTTCCAATATTCTCCAACAGAGAGGGTTCCGGTTCTGTCGGGATCTTGTTACATATGCCAAAGAGCTTTTTAGAATCAGAGGGCTGCAGTGGGGTGGCAAAGGCCCCAGGGATGACTGAGGACACGGTGCAGGTTTAGTGCCCTCTAGTGGGAGTGGCCTAAAAATAGTCCCCAAATTTCTCTTCTGCTCACCCCTTTCCTGTGTGTACCAGGTCTGTCCAGGAGGCATTCAGCCATGTAATATGAAAAATAGAGACATTTACTGAAGAAGATACAAGAAACATTGTACACAGGATAATGCAACCTGAGCTCCCTTCAAAGTAGGCACTTTGGGACCTCACATAATTCTCCCAGTTGCCATCAGCTACCCCGTCATATTTTCCTGAATCTCATCGATGGTCTGAAATCTCTTCCCTTTCAAAGGAGATTTCAGTTTTGGGAAAACCCAGAAATCGCAGGGCCCCAAATCTGGGCTGTCGTGGGGCTGAGTCATCTGGGCGATTTGACATTTTGCCAAAAAACTGCACAAGACTTGATACGTGAGTGGGCACATTGTGATGAAGCTGCCGATCCCGAGGTGCCCATAGCTGTGGCCTGGATCATCCCAGTAGTTCCCGTGGAGGGATGTTCAAACTAAGGCAAAATTTGATACAGAGTTGTGGTCCTACTCATTCAGTGCATTTTGACTGCACAGTACACGTGCTCACTCAACAGCATCTACCACCCCCACTGACTAGTACAGTGAAGTTGTCCTTGTTCACACATGTGCATTCCAGTCCACTCTCCTTGGCTGCCAGGTTACACAGATATCACGCCAACTGTCCTCATTTTGTTAACAACGGCTGGACTTTTTCCAGACAGACCTCGCATATCTTGGTGCATATAGCACTTTTAAATTTAAAACTTTTAGGCCATGGCCATACCATCCTGAATGCGCCTGATCTCGTCTAAATTTAAGACTTCACCCCTTAGGAAGGATTTACAGTAGGAGGCTCAGAAGGTTTGACCACATTCACACGCAAGTGTTGGATTAGTCCCGGGGAAGTACTTGGGGTTAATTAGAGGGACTCGTTCAAACCTCCAGGCAAGTGCAACACAACTTCAGAACAATTTGGTCTTATGGATGCCAGAAGTGATTTTTGATTCTCATGTTTAGCTTCGGCAGACCCTAGCACCACCATCTAAGGACGATAATTGGAAACATAACTCTAAGGCTGCCGGAAGTCGGTGTAATGGACTCGATGTCTCTCCTCATCTGGTCTTTCGGACAAGTATCCTGGAGCCAAGAGAGGCTAGAAAGTCACCCGTGTGTGTTTTTCCATTGTTCCCCTTTCAGCAGGGTCTAGAATTTCTAAGTGGTTCAATTGTGCAACTTGTCTTCTCCCTGAAATGTTTTCCCTCGATTTAGGGTTGTTTTGTAATTGTTGCCAAAGGCACATGATTTAAATTGTAAATGCCACAAAATGTATTCTTATTCTGTTATTCTTGAGATAAAATTTAGAAGCCTGGAAGCTGAAGGGTAGGACTTGGAAAGGGCACTTAGGAAGCTGCCAATTCAAACAAAGTCCTTAATGAAAGTGATGCCTTTGCCCCCTGCTTTGACCCTAAGTTGTCCTGAGTGATCTTGTTTGTCAGACAGTCCTTGGGACTGTGATGAATAAACCCTGTCTAGCCTGAGGGTGGGGTTTAGCCACACGATGCCCAGAGCTGTGGTTCTCCAACCTGGCCATGCACCAGAACCAGTGGGAAGCTTTCGACCACCTAGTTTCCTGGGTCTCACCACACCGCTGTCCCTTGATTTCCCAGGCCCATCCTTTCGCCCCCGAGACACGTGTCAACCACATGCTCGTCTCTTCACGTTCATTGCCAACGGCCTAGTCCAAGGCACCTTTCTGCCTTGCCTGCACCAGCCTTCTTCCTCCGAGCTTCATTCTGCACAGTGACGTGAGGGATTTCTTTTACTTTTTATTTTGGAAAATTGCAAACGTACAGAAAAGTTGCAAGATCAGAATAATAAGCACCTGTACACCCTTTACCTAGAGTTACTGATGGTGATATTTTGCCACACCTGCTTTATGAATATCTCATTGTTAGTACTGTTGTTGTTCCTTTTGCTGATTCGTTGGAAGGTATGCTGGAGACATGGTGGTCCTTTACTTCAGATGTTTCAGTCTGTATCTTCTAAAAGCAGCAGCACTCTCTTACAGAGTAACCACAGTACAGTGATCAAGACATTAATTAAATACTGCTGCTTAATAATATGCATCCCCTATGTAAATCTCGCCCATTGTCCTAATAATGTCCTTTATAATTTTTTTCTCCCAGGATCCAACCCCCAAGAGACATCTAGTTGTCCTGTCATTAGCCTTTTTTAATTGGAGACTTTCTTTGCCTTTCGTGACATCGGGAGTTTTGAAGAGTGCCGGCCAGTCCCTTACAGAACACATTTGGGTTTGCCCGAGGTTTCCTCACGAGCAAACGCAGGTGATTCGCCTTTGGCAGGGTCCTTTGCAGAGCAGCGCGTCAGGGGTCAGAGGGAGCTTTTAACCACGGAACCCACAGAGTGCCTCTGCTGAGTTTATCCCCTGCCGTGGGCTCTCGGTGAGTTCATTGTTCCGCACCACGCCGGCGAAGCCACGCAAATCTGCCCCTTCCTCTCCATCCACCCTCCTGCCACTTTCTCTTGCACTGCGTGTGGCCGTAC